TATTATTTTAAAAGAGAATTACTCAGCAGCTATAGTGGCTATAGATATAAAAGTTAGTGCGTTTTAAAGCTAAGATCTTCTAGTCTTTTACATAGGTGTCACGTGACATTCTACTGCAGCTTTAGGTAGATCTATAATAACTTAAATACTTGGAAAAATTCTAAAAGATTTTGAACTTTTAGAACTCTATAGTAGATAGAGCTATATAGCTAATAGTTATATATATAGTAGTAGTAGATATATAGATCACGTGATAATGGTCTTAGCTACTCTAGCTTATATATATAATAGATTCTTAATACATCTAGTACTTAGCCTATACTTACATAAGCGGTATATTAGTCAGCAATTAGTCAGAATATCATATATAACGTGTTCTATCAGTAAGCTGCGCACATCAGTAAGCTGCGCACCCCACCAAACTTGACACAACATTCAACGCAATTGAGCTACAACAACGCGATAAAATCTAATTAAAATTAAAAATTATAATTATTTATTGAGCTCTACAGGAAGTCCGAGTATGCCCTTGTGTGTGGCACTTCGTACACGTTGGCGGCGCGCGCTGACGTCGCTCACCAGCCTGGCTCTGGCTAGCCTCCATGACCATCCTTTCTGCCTCTGCAGCAAGCTGCTGAGCCCGCTGCACCTGGAGTACCCCACCAGAAGCGATATACTGACGCTGCTGACTCTGCTTTTGTCGTTGGCGCTGAACTTCTGCACGTAACTTCTTATTCTCTTCTGTAAGTATTATTGCTGATTGCATTGCAAGCTGAGCGCTCTTAGCAAGCTGGCGTATCGCAACGCTTGTTGGACTCTCTGGCTGCCGGCGTAGTCGCTCTTGGAGATAGCGTACCTGCTGCTGAAGCTCTGCTACTGTATGTGGTGTCTCTGTCTGCGTTGCTGCCTGCGCTGTAGTATTATTATCTGTAGCTGTCTGTGGTGGAGACGGTGTTCTGGCTACAGTAAGTGACGATAGAACGCGATCTGGACAAGGAGGGACAAGCCCTGTCGCCCGAAAGCCTGCCTGGATATTCTGCTGCGTGAAAACTATCGGCCGGATCCGTGTATAGGCTGCAAGGAAGTCTATCTTGTCAATGTGGTAGACCCCATGCCGGGCGAGCTCCTCAACCTCGCGTCCGTACGCGCGCTTAAGAGGAGAGTAGCAGCTCATATCTAGAGGCTGGAGGAGGTGCGAAGTGTGAGGCGGCATACAGAGAGTGATAATCTTGTTCTCAGCGCAGTACTGGTCGAACTCTGGCGTTGCGTGACTACTATGGCCGTCTAGAATAAGCAGCCGATAGACTCCAGCTGTACGAGCCGCTGTATGCTGGTTAAAGTGCTTTACCCACTCTACGCCAAGCTGATCAGTCGTCCAGCCATTATCTGAGACGCTAATAGTCCAGTCTGGTGGGAGATTATGATACCAGCTGCTCTGGTGGACCTTACCAGACAGTATTATAAACGGTGGCAGAGACCAGCCAGACGCGTTAACGCACTCAATTGCTGTAACCCACTCGCGATTGCCTGGCTGTACAACAACTGCTCTACCAACTCTGTCAGAGCTAGTTACAACTTTTGACGTGCCAGCGACGCCCATCGCGAATCCAGTCTCATCAAAGTTGTAGATATCCTGATCTAGAACGTCGTACGTCTGGCGCGTCTCCTCTACTAGCTTAAACCACGCTGCAATTGCGATAGGATCCTCAGAGTTAGCGCGCTGGCTATTAAGCCTTTTGCTCCACTTTGTCTGAAGCTCTGGCTGGTTCTGGATAAAGCGCGACACCCAGCATTTGCCCACAGGTGCTGGAGGTGGATCTTGGCCACGCGCGGCGAGTAACGCGTCTGCCATACGTCGTACGTCAATAATATGTGGCGGAAATCCTCGTCGATCAAGGTCTAGGATCCACTGCACAAGAGAATGCTCTTCAATAGGTGATAGTCTACGCCTAGCAGATACTATCTCTGATCGTGGCTTAACGCCATGAAGACGCGTCCGAAGAGTTGATTCTGGCACATCATAAGCTTTCGCAAGAGCGCGGAGAGATTGTTTTTTATTATTATAATAGGATGCGATAGCAAGGCTTATTCTACCTTCATAAGAAGTCTGGATAGAGCGTTGTTGTCGCGGCATTGTGGTGGTTGTGTAGAGTGTCGCGTCAAGTTTGGTGGGGTGCGCAGCTTACTGATGTGCGCAGCTTACTGATAGAACACGTTATATCACTCTTTTAATTCTTAGTCTCTTAGATCTTTATTTCTGTAAGGGGCTGCGCTCTGGGGAGCAATCGCGAGGTATACAAGAGGTTGTATTCGATGAGGAGCTAAGCTCCCAAGCTACGTAGCTGTCTATATACAAGCTGGTTACCCGAGTAATAATCGGACCGGTGAAGTCTAGGTGCACGAGGCAGCTTCTGGGTCCTGCGGCTGTCGTCTGAACGTCGTTCGGGCGGTGCGCAGAGAATCCGGGTGCTCAAGACAGCACCCGGGTTCTGCGAGTAGGCCGAGATTCTATCGAGGAGCTATCTAAAGGGCGTTCAGCCCGTTATAATACCCCCCTCCTTAGGGTGATACCGCATCGCCTCTCCGAAACCCTTCCGGGAGGCGGCCCTCGCTGTCTCGTTTGGTCTCTGTGAACGCTTCCCAACGATCTACTGCCTTAGCGTCCTCTAGTAGCTCCGCTAGTTCGAGCGTCGTTCGGTGGAACCCTTTCCACTTCACCTCGTAGTATAGCTTACGCCCTCTCCCACGGCGGCGTACCTCTTCTGCTATAATGTCCTCTACCTCCTATTCGTCTTCTCCGTCTACCTGCAGCGGCTGTGGCTGATAGTCATCCTGAACCTGGTTCGGGAGAGGATCGTTGCTAGCGAGCTTTAATCGGTCGACATGAAAAACAGGGTGCGGTTCTGGCGGCGTGTCTAGTTGAACTGAGTAGCTATCGATTACCTTAACCACTGTGTACTTAGCGTTCTTCTAGTCGAGCTTCTTAGAGCTTCGCCCTGTGCTATACTGCTGATCGAGCTTCAACCATACCTTATCGCCTACTTAGTAGCTCTGTGCCTCTCTCCGAGTCTTATTCGCCTGTCTCTCCTGTTCTTGTTGAGCGACTGCCATTCCTGCTTGGGCTAGTTCTACAGCTTGCTGTAGTTTGACCGCGATCTCTGCCGCTTTCTGCTCGTCCGAAAGCTGTTCGGCTGGTTTCCGCTGTCGTCTTTCATTTCCTAGCTCTAGCTGCAGCGGCTCCACTTCGTGCCCGTGCTGAAGGAAGAATGGTGATATGCCTGTTAACGTTGCGTTTCTGCCATTAATAGCGATCTGGGCTATTGGGCAGAGTCGTACCTAGTCGTCCTGAGCCTAGTTCGTGAAAGATCGGATATAGGTCTCCCAGACGCTGTTCATTCTTTCCGTGGCGCTATCGGTTTGTGGGTAGTAGGCAGTTGACAGTCTTCGTTTAATCTTTAGAAGCTTATATAGTCTCGCCCACAGGGCGCTCACGAATTGGCTGCCTCTATTGGAGGTTATGGCATCTAGTATCTAGTGGTACGCAACTACTCGCTCGATAAACTTCTAGGCTACTGTCTCAGTCTTTGTGTTCGGAAGAGGTATGAAGATCGCGCCCTTGCTAAGCCGATCGGTAATTACTATTAGGCTAGTTATGCTCTCGCTCTCTGGTAACCCTTTAACGAAATCTATAGAGATCTCCTTCCAGATCCGAGTAGGTATCGGTAGTGGCTTCAGAAGGCCTTGCGTGCTCTCTCTCTAGGACTTACTCCGTCCGCAGGTGTCGCAGTTTCTAACGTATCTTCGGATCGAATTGGTCATGCCTGGCTAGAAGTAGTCCCTTGCGAGTATCTTGTAAGTTAGCTCGCGCCCTAGGTGACCGGTGACTAGTGAGTCGTGGGCGCTGCTGATGATTGCCGTTCGCAACTCGTCGTTGTCTGGCACCCACTTGCGCCCTTAGTAAAACAGGACTCCACCGTCTGCTGAGCAGTCTTCAATTGAGCACTTTAGGCCTAAGTTCGCGGGGAAACGTCGCTCTTGGTCCTCTACTGCCTTCTTCGCTCCTTGGTAGACTCGATCTTTCGTCGCCGCCTCCTCCCAGAGTTCTTCTAGCTCGTTCCGCTGCGTTCTTTCTCCTTCCTCTGGTTCTTCGGAAGGAGACTGGTCTGAACCGTCTTCAGTCGGCGGAGGAGTGTCTTCTTCCTGCT